TCCGCATAAACATCACAGAATTGAAATAATTTTATATTCTAATAATTTTATATTTTATATTTGGATTTTATGTTGAAAAGAAAAAAATAATAAACTAAAACCAATTGTAAATCTTCTTGTTCCACAGAACTGTCTATACTTGCGCACTGAACGACGCTGGCGGCGTTGAGGCGGATGTTACCATCAGTCGTCTGGCATCTGGATCAGGTCAGGTGCACGATCCCAAGTTCGAGGGCCAGGGCTACTACATTGTGGCCGGCGGAGCATCTGCCTACTACACATACAGCACGCTGCGCAGCGAGATGCGCCGCAAGGGCTTCGATGCCAAGCTCTCGGATATCACAGCTGATCTGGGAGTCATTTCGATACAGGGACCCAAGAGCCGGCAAATTCTGCAGCCGCTGCTTGACTGCGATCTCTCGGATGAGCATGTGGCGCCCAATAGCACTCGTCTGGCCACGCTGAACGGCATCGGACTGCGCCTGCTGCGCGTCAGCTTTGTGGGCGAGCTGGGCTATGAGCTGCATGTGCCCAAGCGGGACTGTGTGGCGGTGTACAAGGCGCTAATGGCTGCGGGCAAGTCCCAGGATTTGCGCAACGCCGGCTACCGGGCGCTGTACTCCCTCAGCAGCGAGAAGGGCTACCATCTGTGGAGCTTCGATCTGCGCTCCGATGATACGCCCTTGGAGGCTGGCCTGGGCTTCACCTGCCGCAAGACGGGCGACTATCGCGGCCGTGCCGCCGTGGAGCTGCAGCGCGCCGAGGGCGTTAAGAAGCGTCTGGTGTACCTGACGCTGCAGCAGCAGGTGCCCATCTGGGGTCTCGAGGGCGTCTATCGCAATGGGGAGCCTGTGGGCGTGCTGCGCCGCGCTGAGTATACATACACGATGGGCAAATCCCTGGGGCAGGCGTATATATCACGCGCAGATGGGCAAAAGGTGGACGTGGACTATCTGAAATCGGGTGACTATGAAGTCGATATTCTGGGCAAGCGCTACAAGGCCGACTGCCATCTACGCAGCCCATTCGATCCCACTGGGCAACGAGTGCTGGGTAACTACGAAACGAAATAAAAATTCATAAATGTGGGAAGACTGAATAGGCATTTTAAAATACATTTAATACAATTCTATTCTTTGTATATATGTATATATATAAATAAATATCACCAGCCATTAAGATGTGTCTTAAGTCGCTTAACAACAACTTACTGGAATGAGAGCAAATAGTATAACTTTATGCTGCTTACTGCCAATTTGTACAGCATCAAAAAATTGCTTAAAAAATAAAACTATTTATAATCAGATTGCTTATAGTTCTTGAATATGATTTTTGTTAGCCATATGCTGTCATTTGATCAGCTCACAATAAATTGATACTCCAGGGTCAGAGTTAAGTTATATTTAGACTATACTCGTATCTCAGCGGTGCTATCTCTAAGACTTAAACCAATTAGAAACCCAAGGCTGCTCGAAATTTTCAAATATTTCCAACAAAAAAAATTAAGTATTTTGTTATACATTTGCTTTTGGCAGCTCAGGCAAATAATAATTAGTACTATGAAAAAAAAATATACATATATATCTATATCATAATAAAGGCGCGCTGAAGGCTCTTCACACAGAGCATTTGCTATTTTTGGTTTGTTTGATTAGTTTCATTGGCGGACTCGGCTCTATAAACATTTCCTTGAAAAATGCTGAATTCTATTTTTGTAAACTTCATTTTTTATATATATTATCTTTTTATTTTTGATTTGATTCAGGGCCAGTGGAAAATGTTTGGATAAACTTGAGCTAGGCAGCAATTAAATTATTTTACCGTTTCGAAATGTACGTACTTAATGGCAGATGATAATGGTTTGGGTTTTGGTTTTGGTTTCTGTTTCAGTTACAGAATCTTCGAGTCAGTCACTGGGTTATGGCTAAGAGGTTGGCACAGCCACAGCCACAGCCACAGTCACATCTGCATAGAGACAAGTTAATTAGCTCTCTCAAGAGCCGCAAACACCACAGACCAAGTTAATTATGGGGCCATATAACAACAATTTGTTGTTATTGTAATTTATCATTGTTTACGCTTTGTGCGCGCACTTCTTGAAGATTCTGCCGCTAAACGAACGGCCTTGCGGCGCGCTAGAGGTGGGAGGAAGAGAGATTAAATGAGGTGGGGTAATATATCAGCGCCCAAAAACACGCGTAATGCCAATTAAATGACAACACATTTCTTTGACAATGCCCAATTTTCAAATGTTACATAAACCGAACACAAACAGCAATGAGCCAAAGAGCAAAAGGCAATTAAAAACTTTTCGTATTTAATGATGAGAGATGTCAAATGGCTGATTAAGCGCCAGCCAGGCGCACTGTGGGCTGCACGAGAGAAAAGTGAAAAGCGGCCTACACACTGAGCGACATAAGTACAGAAACATAAGCAACAAATATATATATATATATGTATATACATATATAAAGATTTACTTGATACCATGCTGCTGTGCGCGTGAGGCCTCGAGCCGTTGGCTTCATGGTAAGCCGCTTTAATATCAGCCAACTTTGCTGGCTCTCAATTCGAAATTGCCTTCATTGCCAGCATTGCCTGGCGGGGGTCATTTGGTGGGCCCCAAATCCAATTGCAGTCATAGCCGTGGAATGGGGCGCTTGGCATCTTTTATCTTCTTTGTCCAGCGCTGAGTTTGCAAGTCAGCGTGTTGCGGCACTTGACGTCGCACCGACACACTTCAAGTTCAAGTTCAGGCTGCGTCACTCATTAAGTCAATCGACCGACTGCAATTTGGCAATGTTCACACTTAATGGATTCACACATCTGCCAGATGGGCTGCTCTGGCACCAGCTCCAGCTCCAGCTCCAGCTGCATAAATCACTTGAACAAATGCGCTCAAAGTCAAGCTGCCTGCACAGCAGCAGTTTATGATTTCGATTTTGATTGCCACTTCAAGCGACATTATGAGTTGCAATTAAAATTAATTTACTCAACGACCTTCGCTCGCTTCGCCTCAAATGCATTTGAAGCGCATCTTCACCTGGCTGTCAGAGTACGTGTGCTTGTGCGTGTGCGTGTGAGGATGCGCTTTTGCCTTGTCGTGAACTTGAATTCAAAATTGAAATCGAAATTGAAAGTTGATCTTCACTTAATTCGATATTGCAGTTGCAATGAGCTAAGCATAAAACACCTGCTGACAGCACATAAACATGCAAAATTCATTCAAGCAAACCCATTAGCACAGCATTAATCAAAATACCATTTGTTTAGGCGCTACTACGCAAATATATGCTACAATTAAGTTAAAGCAGACACAATAAATACTTAACTATTTTTGATATTTCTTTTTATTAGTATTTGTTGCCTTTATTTTTGGTTTCTCATATTTTTCTCCAACTTGTGGCTAATGATGAGCATATTTAGCCGGAAGCAATAGCGCTTCATTGATTTTACTGACATTATTGACACAGTTTTGTACCCCCCTGCAGCTCACTCACCTCGGCTCGCATTACATAAGTGAAATGTAAATAAAAATGCTGATAAATTACGAGGGTTATTATTATTATTTTTTTGTATGCCGCCAAGGGGCATAACAAAGGAGAAGCAAAATAAATAAATAATATATATATACATATAAGTAATTCGATAATCATTTGTTCAAACAAAACGCGTAACGGCATCAAATATTTTGCATTTATTTCATTCAAATAGATTATCATTCGTATTTCTCACTAATAGATAATTTTGCCAAGCCACAGGCAACAAAAGACTCAGGCAACAAACTTGTTTCGAGGAGCTGCTTGCCTGCATACATGTTGCACGAGCCGCCGCTTGCCAATTGCAGCTCAAACCTAACACAGTGACACACTTATACGAGTGTGCATGTGTGTGTGTGAGAGAGTGTGAAGTGTAATTTATTGTCGATTTGCTGGGCCATAACTCAATTAACAATGAGATGACCAACTGGAGTTCGAGTGGAAATTGCGATTGCTTGACTCACTTGGACTATTCATGTTCGACCATAGGCATATACTGCCAGACTCACTCACACATACACACAGAGAGATGCGTCAAGCGCGGTTTGAGCCATGTTCGAACGGCAACCGCAGCGCTGTCGTCGTTGGCTTTGGCTTGCCGTGCACCTTATTTTCGTTTTGTTTTTCATTTTTTCATTTTTGCTTTTGTTGTTTTTGTTTTTGTTTTGTTTTGTTTGGTTTTTTGTTTTGGGGACAAGCTATAAACCGTGGCAAGATCGTCGTTGCGTTCAGTTGGTAAAAGTGAAGCGTTGCGTGCGGTTGTCTCTCTCCACACTCTAATAAAACAATTACAAGTACATCAGACATATTTCATTCTCGCTCAACTGGCAGGCGCCGCTGATTCGTTTGTGTTGCTAGCATCGTAAATATATATAGTGTATATATATATACACGTCCACAAGGTGAATATCTGCGCAGATCCTGGCAGGACAATGCTATGAAAAACTGTTTATATGTGAATCGCTTTGATTTTGTGTAGTGGATTTTAATGTGCGAATTTTTGGTTAAATTAGTTGATAACAAATGAGTTCAGAGATACGAAACCGTTTGCATTTTGGTGTGTAATTGAAATTGATCAGAAATTAATTGGTCATATAGATTAAAAGTTTGTTATTTATTTATGAAATATTCATGAAATATTAATTTTATCTCAGTGAAGATCAAGTTTCTATTCAATGACTAATTCAATGAGAACTTTTAAGTTTAAATTTACAAAAACTAGTTATTATATTAATATCGTAGAGAAGTTCGAATTTGGATTAGAATTTAATTTATTACTGAAAATATGAGACTGAAGTGGATTTTATGCAAAAAAGTGTTAGGTAATTACCATTTATTAGCAACTTTCATATACATAGGATTCTTGTCTTATGTTATAAAAAGAACTAGATGAATAGAAATTGGAACATAAGGCAAATCATGCGACTCTTTATGAAAAATCATAAAGACCATATAAAATATAATAAATT